AGGGGTAAGTAAGGGGTTCTCATTTATGGAATCGTGATTCACGGTAAAACCCCAACAATATGCAGCTTTGTAGTTCTCCCGGTGGTTTGGCCAACAACAATAGGCATACAAATTCCATAGTTGCCTGATGTAGGTACATTTGAAGAAAAGATGTTGATCATTCCTCTTCTTCAGAACATAAGTTGCAAGTGATATCAGATATGATACCTCAACGGTGTAGGCTATCTTTCGTCGGGAGACGGTTATATTTGCAAACTTTCAAAATAATAATTTTACTTGTCATTTTTTTCTCCAAAAATACTAAACTTATCAATCGCTTCCAAATCAAACGGTCGCTCAAGTTGACCGAATTTTCTGATAACTGGATGTCACGTGGTACATCGAATTTTTGGTTTGATATTGACATATTTTGACTCTACTTATCATTAACGGTACATTACAAAAAAAAAGTAAAAGTAAGATTAAAATAAAAAAATATACACACAAGTATATATTTATATATGTATACGTATATATGTATAAATTTTATTTTTTTATTTTTTATTTTTTTTGTTAAAAGTTGTGTATATTTTAAATTTTAAGCACTTGAGTTACAAGACCGTTTTGCGGTTAACAACGGATAGAGTTTTACATAAAGTGAAGAATGTCGGTTGAAATGCACATAGAACCATAGAAAAATATCATGTAAAACTGAATTATCAATCCAGGAAATCTGGGTGACTCTACAGAAGGTTTGTAGGGTATGGATGGGGGCCGGTGGATTTGGAAGTTCATGCTGAAGAGGAATCAGAGAGGACTACATTAGGGATTGCGAAGTAGACGCCGCAGGGGAAGGGGGTTTCGGTGGTCATGCAAGGTGGGTGATGGAGGAGACAGGGATTTCTTCTTCTGTCGAGCCATGAGGGCCGACGATGGCTAGCGTTTGACCGGCGAGAAAGAATAATTGTGTTGTGTTCTCATTCTCTAATCTCTGATGTGCAGTTATTTCTTTGTAATTGTTAAAGACCTTTCTTTGAATTTTCTTACTATTAGAGAGAAAATTTTGTGCCGTAAAGGTTTTTTATTTTATGATATGAGGTTGCCGTTGAACTTAAATGTTTATCCTTATTTGAAATCTCAGTTTCTAGAAATCATACATATCTTTTGTTTTCAACTGTTTTCTTGGTAAAACTTTAAATGGATAGTATCAAAACATATTTTTTAATCGATAGATATTAAAAAATGTTAAAAAATAAATAGTGTAGTAAATATTTTTTTTTGTATAAGATGAATCTATCTATTAAATCAATCCTTTACAAAAAAAAAAATCAGCCAAAGCCGTACAAACAAGATAACCATATCACAAATAGTGTAGTAAATATTCATATCTACTATTTATGATTTTTATTTTCTCCACTCAATTTATCTACTATCATCTTAATATTCTCTACTCACTATTTAACTTCATTTCATATTCATTTGTAAACCTATAAATAAACATTTATATGAATCATTTACAATACACAAAAAATTTGTATACAAATCTATTCTCTATTTTTTCTATCTTCTTATCTTCCCTAATATCATTATTCGTTCTTTATTTTTTTTTTGTAGCACTAAACAATGGTTGGTTTGTTAGAAACTATAAATTTAATTGGAAAACGTTTTTGGTTAATATAATTTACATTATATATATATATATAAAAGTTTTTGGTGTTGTCTTCACAAGTTTATATAATTTTGGGACCCATCTTTGGTTGAATACGATACAAAGGTGTCTTAAACCCCTAAATTTATTAGTAAACATCTCGTGATGAAATTGTTCATAAGATTGATGTACTTTTTACTCTTAATCTCGTCATCTTAGAAATTATATCCATTGTTTATAATTAACAACTTTTGTAACAGAAGAATGATCGATCATCTGATATATTTAATTTCAGAACAAAGATAACAACTCATTTATTGGGATAAACATTTTGATTTTTTTATTAGATTATTTTTGGATTAGGTTAGTAAAAAAATATCAATTTGATTTTTATGTCGGTTTTTGGTTCAATGCCAATTTTTTAGATTCAAATTCATTTTTTATAAAAACAGTTATTTATTTTCTGAAGAAATTTTAATTTTCTTAGAATATCACTAATAAAAAAGATCATATCCAATTGGGTTTTTGATGACATCGGTTTTTGACGTTATTTTCCTATGGTTTTAGTTGCATTTAACCCTTCTCTTCCGTACAAATATAGCGTTTAGGCCATATTTTGTGCACAAATACCGTTTTCTTTGCTCTTTGATGTAATTTCAGGAATATTTGCGTAATCGGACCAAAACGGAGCTAAAACAGTGTTTTTGGAGCTTAATTGGACCAAGCAGACAATCACAGACGAGCTAAGGAAGGACACGAATTTGTCGCGGGTGAGAAACGTACTTCGGAATGAAAAAGGAAGAATCTCGAGGTTTAGAACATCGATATCGACGTTGTATAACATCGATATCGACATTCTTCAACCTCGATATCGATATTTCCGGCCATCTCAAGATCAGATTTTCAGATTCCAGATCTAGACATTCCCGAACATCGATATCGATGTTCCATACCTCGAGATCTGAATACTCCAAATGTCGACGTTCTTCAACCTCGATATCGACCTTCCATACCTCAAGATCTAAGCAATCTAGATATCGACCTTTCACAACATCGATATCGACGTTTCCAAACCTCGAGATCTTGGCTCCATAGAAGAATATCGACGTTAGAAAACATCGATATCGAGGTTTTTAACATCGATATTCGAAATGTCTATAAAAAGACGTACGGAAACCGAGAAAGGATTCGACTTTTTGCACATTTTTCGACACTGGATTAGTTAATTGCAAAAGAATTTGGATTAATTAATACCGGAATTCGTTCATAAGATAGGTTCAATTATTAATTCTGAACGCATAGGTTGCACTTGATAAGGAGTTCTTAATTCGAACAAAGAACTATGATAGCGGACGTTAATGCTTCTAACGTAGACCTAAAGATGCGGAAGTTGATAGGAAAGCGTTAGTTAGACAACGAAGATTCCTGACCGGACGCGTTCAAGGATAGAGGCTAGAGTTTCCTGACTCGACCTTAGACTGCAAACCAACCATATCTACTTAGATGATCCGTAACATCGGTGAACCCCCGAACCTACAATTCCTTTAGTTATAGTTTTCTCCCAACCAACCGACAATCTTGCTATCGATCCACGCTAGAATCACCATCGACACCATCACCTCTCGGTCCCTGTGTTTGACCCTGGTACTACATCGAATCTGTACCCTTGCGGAATCAGCTTAGTCTAGGTTTTATTACTTGACCATCCACTCACCTAGATTGACACGATCAAGTTTTTGGTGCCGTTGTTGGGGACTGAGATTCAGTCTTGGTGCCGGTTAGATTCTAATTTTCCACCACCATCTACTTTCTTTCACCACCACCAGATTCCCTTCTTTCAGGAATCGAAACTTTGATTCCTTCGGTTTATGACCAGGAGAAGTGGAAGTCAAACTCTACTTCCTCCTGATCCAGAAATCGAAAGAACTCTTCAACTTCTAAGGCAACGAAGGAGATTGGGAACAATGGAAGATAACAGAAATGTTCACGACCATCCTGCGCATAATGCTGCTCCACCGAGAGCAGTCGAACGAAATGAAGTGCTTACTTTTGGAGACTACACTGCTCCAAAGCATACTTCGTTGCTATCATGCATCAGGAGACCGAACATCGACAGGAGTCAATTTGAGCTTAAACTTGCATTTTTGCAAATGCTTTCTACCTCTAGTTTCAAGGGCACTCTAGAAGAAGACCTTAATCTGCATTTGAATCATTTTAAGATGCAATGCCAGTCACTCAAGTTACCCAACGGAACCTCTGAGGAAGCAATATTACTCTTGGCCTTCCCTTTCTCCCTATCAGGAAAAGCCTTGGAATGGCTATACACGCTTCCACCAAATTCTATACATACTTGGGAACAACTTCACAATAAATTCATGGTGTGATTTTTCTCTCCCGAAAGGATTATGTCCATAAGAGGAAAGATAAACTCCTTTTCGCAAGGAAAGTACGAGAGCTTATATGAAGCGTGTGAGAGATACAAGAGCTATCTGTGGTCATGTCCACATCATGGACTGAATCAAAAGTACCTGATAGCGAATTTCCTCACTAACCTAAGGGAGGAGACAAGATTTTGGATCAATGTAGCTTGTAAGGGCAACTTATATAATATGCGCTTTGTCGAGTTAGAGGAGCAGGTCGATAGAATGGCTAATGGACACGCATTTGACTGCCTATACCTCGGTAAAAAAATGAGGAGGTCCACGAACTTGAATTAGTTCGATCAGACTTAAACCATCTTAGATCCGAATTTGTCCAAAGTCACGAATCAACTCTTCGTGAATGTCCTCATTCAGGAAAGGTAAAGCTCTGTGCGAACGCATACGCTGTAACTGAGCCGATCGAGCTCATTCCTTCCCAAGTATTCTCGATAGACCAGATTTCCCCACATAATCAAGATAATGTTATGTCTCTATTAAAGACTCTGGTTCAATGGCAGCAGTCTTTAAAGCTTAAACTAGACGAGCTTAACGATGACCAAAAGCTGATGAAAGAGAGAGTAAGCAATATTGAGAACCACTTGCTCATTTTAGATGCACAAGTAGCCCACATAGCCGAGGAACAATGCCACGCTATAGCACTAAGAAGTGGCAGGCAATTAGAGGAAAGAATAAGGGGCGAAGAAGAGACTGGGGATGTTCCAACTCCAATGATGTCAGAGTCGAGAACGCTACCACCCCAGAAAAATACCGTCTCATCTTGAAAACCAAAACGAGGGGATATCCGCTTATATACCCCCCGCCGTAAAGCCACCTCGTATACCGTATCCCGAAACGATTGAAAACCTCTAACGAGGAGAGTCAATTCGCGAAATTTGTGGAGATTATAAAAAAAATTGAAGGTTACTATACCGTTCCATGAAGTCATCACTCAAATGTCCTCCTATGCTAAATTCCTAAAGGATATTCTGGCAAAGAAGAGAACAATTGAAACGGAAATAGTGACCCTCAGCCCAAAATGCAGTGCCATTCGGAAGCATGAACTACCCCCTAAGATGACCAATCCAGGAAGCTTTTCAATTCCATGCAAGCTACACAATGTAACAATAGATCGAGAATTATGTGACCTTGGTGCAAGTGTTCTTTCGATCAACAAGAAGTTAAACGTAGGGGAACTTAAATCAACAACGATGGCACTACAATTAGCGGACCGATCAGTCAAATACCCCCTCGGGATACTAGAAGATGTGTCGTTAAAAGTAGGTGACTTTTATGTGCCGGTAGATTTTATGGTAATGGACATGAATGAAGACACGAGAATATCTATTATCCTTGTCGACCTTTCTTAAACACAACAGATGCAATTGTGCATGTAAGAGCAGGCAGGCTCACCTTGAAGATAGGAGGTGAAACAGTTGAGTTCACACTGGATAAGAACCTTAAGCAATCAATGTCTGTAGACTCCGCCTGTTACATCGATGCGTTGGATGCTCTAGCAGATGAATTCTTAGAAGAGTTTCGCGACCTCGATCCTCTGGAAGTTTCTTTGGAAGCTATTAGAGGGGGTGGATACGTGAACAATGAAGAGGTAAACGAATATCTTCGGGCATTAGATAGTTGTGCAGAGGACGAAGTTAACATCCAATCCACATCAGTACCCGTCGAAGCCTTCTGCAGAGTAGACCATGTCCAAAATAATGAAAGAAGACTAGAATGTTGGGTTTCCTGGGATCTCTAGAGCGAATCCTATTCCTAAGAGATCGATTCTACGGTTTGCGCAGCGGATGTAAAACAAAAATTTATTAAACCCTAGAACCATGCTTCTTATTAATCGTAGAAACGTTAGAACGCTTACCTCAATCGATCCGGAGCCTGTATCAATAGAAGAACTCGTTCGATCACGAAAAGGAGGAAGAATACCTCGCCCTCCACACGTATCCACACCTCGGTTCCTAAGAGATCGATTCTACGGTTTGCGCAGCGGATGTAAAACAAAAATTTATTAAACCCTAGAACCATGCTTCTTATTAATCGTAGAAACGTTAGAACGCTTACCTCAATCGATCCGGAGCCTGTATCAATAGAAGAACTCGTTCGATCACGAAAAGGAGGAAGAATACCTCGCCCTCCACACGTATCCACACCTCGGGATTGATGGTTGTAATGCTCTAGGATGATCCGTGATATGACATTTTGACTTTGTATTGATTCATTGATTTATGAATGCATTACATTCCCGTTATATGATTGGCATGTTTGTTATATTTCAGTATCCTTGAATCATTAGATAATGATTCTAAACTCCCTGGTCAGTTATCATTGTGGGAACAATGATGAATTAAGACTAGCATGAGGTGTGATTGATGCGTTGGATGCATATCACAGGTACTCGTTGCGAACGAGTGACTGGATGACCCGCATGAGATTGTCACATGGACAGAGTCATGACTTGATTCTCATACATCGGTTCATTCTTAGATCCTCAGACCTGAGATGTCTGGAGTATCTGATATGAGGAGTGGCGTGTCTTGACTGCAACAAACGTCGTCTTTAACCGGATGATTATAACGGCGTTGATCAGATACGTTCACGAATCATATGGAGATAGTAGACATGCAATATGAGACTT